TGGTGCCAAAGGGTTGTGAGAGCTGACTATCTTTGCTCGGCAGCCTCTCACCAGTCTGCCCACTCTGCCCTCATCCAACCCCACAGCATCCTGGCAGGATGTTCCATTCTTGGGATTCAAAACAGGAGGTGGTCTTCAAGGACCAGAAACACTTGAAGTGTGTTTGCCATGGTGTTTGCAGCACACAGGATAGAGTTAACCTTTGTTGAGATGTTAGACCCTGGTGCAGGAGCTACAGGACTCTGAGCTCCAGAGTAGTAACAGCTGCTGCACAGGCAGTGGGAGCAAGAGAGAGAACTGTATGTCCAGTTTTAAAGATATGGGATTGCACTGTCTTCACTTGCCAGAGGCCACACATGGAGCTATGTCTGCATTGCACAATAGTCCAGAAGGGGGTCAATGGTGCTAGAGAAGCTAGTTTACACTCTTTTACACAAGGACTGCACAATCCCTGATGTGAATGTGAGGGGTAGGTTTCCCAAGCTCTCATCTTCTTGAGGCAAATGTTTGTCTGCAACAGCTGGACTTCACTCTTCCTCAGCTTGCAAGCTGCCCAGCTCTTGGTGTGTCAATACAGAAGACATAGTGAGCTCTGGCATCCCATCATAAGGTCCCAACAGCACCTTCTGAAACGAAGGAAAAGTTGTGACTATCTGAGCTGTGATTTGTTTCTGTGGCTGCCAGTAGAGCAAACCATTATGTTTTCTGCCAGGGGAGGTAAGAGGTTCACAGCTTCACTCAATTACCTTTGACAACAGCTCAAGAGCCAGAGCCTGTATCTCACCTTCCATCCTCCAGTGGCCAGTGGCCGTGGCATAGAAGAGAGCCTGGAAATTGGCAAGCTTCACAGTGGTAAGCCAACTGGTATGGCAGAGGCCCAGGATGCTCCCTCCCAGCCGCTGTAGCAGGACGAGAGGCTCCAGCTGCAGACAGGAGGGCTGAGCAGAGGTTTGGAGGCTGGGAAGGATTCAGAGGCCTACTGCAATCATGTTTTTGGAGCTGGTGTGTGCTGTATGTGCTGAGGATGGGTCAAGGTGGGCCAGGCCTGTTGCATCCACTGTGAGGAGATCACTTTTGCAAAATGTGTGCACTGCAGGCCCCAGTTTTTCTGCACCAGTGTGTGTGTGAGCACAGTACAAGTGACTGCCTTCTGCCCGGCCTGTGGCCAGACTGTTCAGAGAGGAATTCTGCCTGGAGAAGGGGCTCCATCAGTGAAATGCAGATGTGTGACAAGGAAGACGTAAATTTGTTTTACAGTGTGTGTTCTTCATAAATGAACAATACTGCAGTTACAGCCCATGTTCAGCTAGAAAAATACATTTTTTCCCTCATCTTTTAAACATATTTTGACAATGCCCTCTCTGTTGTTCCAAAGTAAGTAGCCTTTCAGTCCTCTGAAAACCTGATGAATGAAGTTGGGTTTAGCGAAGCTGTGAAGCCAAGGGCAAAGGAGGACTGAAACTGGAGGACCTTTCACCATGAAGCACTGAGCCAGAGGAATGCTCCTGCATCATGCTCTTTACTGCAGGACTCTAGGATCCCTCATGGGACAGGTCCCAGGGCCACCCTGCTTCCAGAAACATTCGCTATGATGGACAAGCCCACACGGAAAAGTCTGCCAGTAGTCAAAGCCTTTGATAGCTTGTAATATTCTTAAGGGTATATTTATTGTACTGAAAACAGGAAACTTTTGTTGTTGTTGTTTTGATACTTTTACCTGATAATTATACTCAGCATTTCACCTGTATCCTTGGGCTAGGAAAGAGCTATGACTGTATTTTCTCAGAGCTATTTCTGATTCTCTTTTTATTTCCTTCTTTCTCCTCCCCCCAGGCTGAAGTGCTGTTTCCCATTGTCCTTTTTAAAGTAACTATCCTAGAAGCTGCAATATCCTTCTATTCAGCGGTCCTTGGAGCTTGTCCTCCCTTCCTTTCCTAGTTCTATTTTTAAAAAGAATGTAGTAGAAATGCACACTTTATCAACACTTTTCTGCACATTGTGATACAATTCCAGTCCTTTTCTAATGGTTACTAATGCTTAATGCAGTGTTTTGGGGTTTTAACTTGGCAACTTATTTGCATAAGATTGCAGTACCTGCCAATAGAGCTCTGCTCTGAATGGGGACAGCAGGTCAAAGCCTGGCTTTGTTTATGTGAAAGGATTATTTTCTCTGTCTAGGTGATTCTGCATTTATCTCCATAGTCTTTTTCTTTTGTTTCAGTCTTGTGCAAGCCATAAGATGTGACTGCATCGCCCTGCAGTCAGCTTTTTTTCCTTTTACTGGATGGGATAGTGTTACTCATACTTTCTGGAAGTGGGAGGGCTGGGAGGCCTAATAGAGTTCTTAGAAGAGGTCTGACAAAGGTAACAGAGTCTCTAAAGGTATTAAACTGTCCTAAAGGAGATACTACCTCCTTTAGAGAAATAACTGTACCAAAGGAGATATGCTATTCCTAGCAGGACTGAAAAGCTACTAAGAAGGCCTTGGCTTGGCCAGACAGCTCCGAACCGCTTCATGCCCAGATGCAACCTGTTGTTTCTAACACATCCCAGGTAGACAAAATTTTGCTTTCTGGCCCACCGTGTTTAACACTGAATCCAAAAAGGCAATAGATTCAAACTTTTCCTGAGAATGTTTTAAGCAAGTGTCACTCCATTTACATGCTGCTCCCTAGATTTTAGGACAAATTTGAAAACAACTGAAGCCCAGGTCTATTTTGTCTCCTTTTTATTTTCACTTTCATACCAAAAAAAAGTCTGACATAGTCACATCAATGAGAACAAAGCTGCGATGTGCACTCGGACAACAACGATCATATAAGGATTTAAAATATATTGTTTTACTGTTTGCAATAGCAATGTTAGTTTGCTTTTACTTCTTAAATATCCCCAACACCAAATTGCTGCGCTTGAAATTCTTGGAAGTCCTCTGGGATGGTGTCTGAAAACAGGAAAATATGCAGAAGTTTAGTCTCTTCTTACAAAATCAAGGAGCCATTAAATTAATGAATAAGCCACCTCCTATTTTTTTTAGGTAACATGCTTCTCTTTTGTTTACACCTTAAGAATGAACAGGGAATGTTTTCAGTTTTAGCTGTACACCACTGAAAATCGCAGAGAGGCTAACGAGGCAGTGAGTGCTATAGTGCCAGCCCACAACAGAGTATTATCAATCTTCAGATTACTTTTTTTTGAAAACTTTGTGCCTTGCACTCTTAAACTTTGATAAATAAATGCTGACCAGAAAGGCAAAAGAAGTGGTTGTCTTGCTCTGCACACCAGACATGTTTGCAGTGTCAGCATTTCTGTTTCTCATGTATCCTAATTCAACTTCCCTGTGATGGTTTCCCGTGCCACAAGAAGGGACAAAAAACATTAACCTCAGGACAAATAGCAACTGGCAGAAAGACCTGACCTGAGACTTGGCGACGGGAGCTGGAGATGGATCAATGTCATAAGAGTAGCTACAGTTCTGTTTGAAGTGCTGTTTGCAGTCCGCCTTTGCCAGGTCCCAGAACATTTTATCTGGAGAGCCACAGAGCCAACTGTAGAGCTAAGGCTGCAGCCAACAATGAAGCCACAGCAGTGAAACTCAACTGCATGACATCAGCTTTAATATGATTATTTCCACCCTGATGCAGGACAGGTAATTCTAAACTCAAAAAAGGATGTAACTGTATAAACACACACAGTATATAGAAAAAAAAAAGGGATAAGTCCTTTGCTTTTTGTTGAACACTTTTTTTAAGGCTTGAAATTATTTTCAAGCCTTTTCTGCAAATGTAGGAACTTGTCTGAAATGAGATCAGAGATACCTGGGGACTCCAGAGACTTTCTGACTGGGTTTCATTAACTTCTGTAGCTCCTGCAGCAAAGCCAGCTGCCTGCTTACTGCCAGGTAAGTATGACTCAGTGGCAGCTTTGGGAAACTGTGTATTGTTTAAGATGTATATCAAGTAATTTTTAATTGTAAGCACTGCTGTCTAGAAGTTCCCCTGTTTAACCATGACCTCCAAGTGCTAGCCTAGTGTACCGGATGTCCAAGAACCAGAGTCCATCACAGAACACGCCACAGAGTGGCCGTGCAGCCCCCTACAGGAGCTGGACAAGGAAACTATTCCAACTTAGTAATGGCTGGTAAATTGTTTTCTAAAGGTTGGGTAGGGATTGATGCTACTATCTAGTTGAATCTAGCTGAACTGCTTCAATCTAGCTGAACTGCTGCCAGGGCAGAAATACCCTGATGTGATCAGCTTCTGTGTGGAGTGATCAAGGTTTGAGATATTTTACATAGTGGGAGATCAGAGCTAAGCTGCAAGGCTCTTGCACCAAGAGAAGCAAGACAGCACTCTCCCACAGAGTCAGAAGGATTCCTCCATGGGAGGAAAGGCATTTTATGATCTTCCCCTCACACAGACAGGAGCAACCAGCAAGTACATGAGTGATACTGATGCCTAGTGATTGAGCCCACTGACCCTCCAGGTATATTTCACCCTTTATTCAAAGCTCAAGGCATCCTACATATGTGATGGCCTGAGGTATTTATTGTGTGTGTACAGCTCTCACAGTCAGTTGTTTTTAAATAATGTTCCTAATTCTCTGATGACAGCTATACTTCTCAGTTGGCACAATCTGCAGCTCTGGGAGGAGCAGCTCTGAGGCATTACTTCCCATCTAGCAGGGCTGCACTGTGCTGCTGGTGTCAGGGGAGGTGTTTCACAGCTGTGAAAAACTTGTACATGAAAGGTAAAGGAGAGGATCAAAATGGCTTAATCCAACAGCCACACTACCAGTTCTTCATGGGCACTTGCTAGTTGTGAGCTAAAAGGAAGTAAGAGCTATATTACCATTGCAGCGATATTTCAGGTTAGACCAAATAATGTTTTCCTGAGAGAAGCAGAAAACTCCAAGCCGTCCTCCACGCATTGTGGTGTCTATAGTTACACCAGAGTCTGCCACGAGGTCAGAGCCTTCATAAAATCTTGCCCTTAATGAAAGCAAATAGAAGCTCTATTAGGTCTTTTTCTAAGGCTGCAACATTCCTGAAAGTAATGTTGTTATCCATGGAGACTCTAGCCTTGGACATGTTATCCCTCCCGTCTAGCCCAGGGGAGAAAAAGCAGTTAAGCTAGCTCCTCTGTAGGCCGGAAACTAAAGGTATCTGCATGGTGGCAAGAACCAGCAAGGGAGGGTGTGTTGGGGAGTTTCTACACATCCTAAAAAAGCTCTGGAATGTTTAGTCAATCAGGCTGAGAGCTTTAGCTCTTGAAATTTTCCACAGTCGATAATAATAGGAGAAAGGGAGAACCAGACTAGATCAGTTGAAAAAAGCCAGATGGATATTGTCTCACACAGTTTGAAATGAGGGTTTTTTGTTTTGTTTTGTTTTTTTTTAATAGGCAAGGTTTCAAACAAACCATTTGGAACCTTAAACTTGTCTGTGAGATGTCTTCAAAAATGTGAGTATGATTAATTCTAGGAACAGTTTTGCTGATCTAGCATCCTCTTGTTAAAAACCCATCAGCAAGTTCCCAAATAGCTGTGTGAAAGGAGATTAACCTCCCAGCTCCCAAGCACGTGCCCTGTATTTGAGGGCAGGAGCCAGCTGAGCTGTTGCAGCACTGTCCACAAAAAGTCCTCAGCCTTTGGGTAAATTTACTAGGTAAATTACTTAGAAGATGATGAGCCTGGAGGGCCTTGTTGTGGATGAGGATGCTGCTGATGAGACATGCAAGAAAGTAGCACATGGTGAAGGGAAAGAAAGTTCCTGTGTCTTTTCATAAAATAAGAAAAAAAAAACCAATTCCTGGTATGTTCCGGAGTTTATTTCCTGATTTGCTGAGGCACTTCAAAAGTATCTACTATAAATAGAACTTGTTGTCTTTCCCATTTTCATGGGAGAGGCTGGCTGAAGTGATTTTTTCCTATGCTTCCTTGAAGCCTCAGAAAACCTTTTCTAGACACATAATGGTCTGTGGCATCTGGCCTAACCAAACCACAGCAAGATGTGGACAGAGAGCTGGCAGATGTTCCATTTAGGCTTGGCTGCCTTTAGTTTTTGAAGGATTCTACTACACTGACTTTGCTACCTTTCCCAGTTGGAGAGTCCATTACTTAGGCTGACTGGAGAGACTGCAATCATAGGAGATGTTTGCTTCTGAAGCGGCTCGACAAACTGCTTGGTCTAAACAAAACTTGCCCAAGATCTATTCACTGCTGCCCTGTGGCTGGGACACAAAAGTAGACAGTGTAAATGTTCTTAATCCATTTTACCATAAAGTCAAACATGCTCACTCCAATTACCACTGAAGATGATGCTCTGCACTAGAAAAGTGGAGTAATTATATCATAAGGTTACTGCATCTCAACTGCAGGGTGGTGATTTTTTTGAAAAACGACTGACTTATCTGTGTATGTTTTCTATTATAAGGTTCTAAAACCTGAGCTGACAATGCCAGAGGAGTTAATTTTTTGCATTTTATGCTTGATCTGCAAGAATAATTCCTGCTCATTTCTCTGCTGGACGTTGCAGAGTAAGATGTTTCCTCCCAAATGGTGATTTTTGGGTTTTTTTAATAACTTTTTTCTTTCTCTCAAATATCAAAATAAGAATAGATAACATGCGTTACAAAGCTCTGAATATATGCTGAGTAATCTCAAATCTATCACATCAGGATAATTACTCGTCTTAGTTAGGCTCACAACCTTTAAATGACAACTTTTATTAATTCTATTATCCTAGAATACATAAAGGCTATTATAAGGCTTCATCAATGCAAAGACCAGACATAATCTAAACTCTCAGATTATTATCTGAATCAGGTGTTGAGAGACAACAGTTCAGGCAGACATGTATCTGTACTCTTATCTATCCTTTTCTCTCTTACCTGATATAACCAATCTGGGGTCTGTGCTGCAAGAACCAGCGATAGGAGACTTTGTCTTTCCACCCTACATTTCGGGGATCCTTCCACAGCAGCCTGACCTGATCACTGGTGTCCCCCGTGTGCCACAGGGAGTTGCGGAGGTGCTCGCCAGGACCTGTCTTGGATTTCACAGCCTGCAGAAATACAATTTTCCAATGATGACCATAGAGAAATATCACTTTCAGGAGCCATAAGTTTTTTTGTAGTGGGGAGCGGGTCTATACCCTCCCTGCTGCTCACAAGCCACTAACTTCTGTTGTATAACTACACCCACTGCCTGCATGAAAAAGCAACTGGGTACCTGGACCAAGGAGAAGGAGGCATTCTGACCAATTATGGTCAGAGCACAATCACTGCAGAAAACAAATGTTCCAGCTGATAAGAAAGGAAAGATGAAGTTCCTTAAAAAACAGTGCCATTAAAAGGGCTGTGTGGCAGCTGCCTGACATTTTGACACAAGTTGCAAATAGAGAACTGCAGTCAAGCAGCATGGCTGACATGTGATGGCTTGGCCCCTGCACAGCATGATGGCTTCACCCATGGCCAACACATGGCAGGAAAGCACAGCCAGGCTGCAGTGACCACTGTGTACCCAACTGGGAGCCACAACCAGTACCTTTAGCTGAATGCCAGGCTCTGCAACAGCTCTGAAGGGAGTCGCTTGCCAGTACGTCTGCTCTGTCTGTTTCCACATCACCACATAAAAGCTAGAGCTGTCTTGATAACCAAAGATAAAGCCAGCATAGTCATCATCTGTCACCGTGTTCACGTGAAAAGTGCCCTCAAAGTCAACGCCATTAAAAGCTGTGTAACCTGAGGATACACGCAGGTTAAAAACAATCCTGCAGAACACATGTTCATATGCTACATGTTTTCTTCTGTAAAACTTGCATCTCAGAAGAGGGTACATACCAACAGCAAGGCCAGGATCACTGTTCATAGTCTGCACAATTTCCATGCCCTGTAAGAGTAAATTCAGGGTGGTAAGCATGCATGGCAAGCTGGGTTGGCTAAGCCTGGCCTCCCTCTAGCACCCTGTCTATCAGCCTCCTCTGTTTGCTTACAACATATCTGTAAAACTTGTAGTTCTGAGTTGAAATGGGAACTACAATCAAAATACTAGTGTTTCAATTGCTTGCATGACCTGCCTGAGTCAGGAAAGATTTGTATTTTCCCACTGTAGAATTGGCCATACTGGTTTTCTGATACTTTCCCTCCCACAATCTTCTGGAAATCACTGAAACTGGCCAAAATGAGGGGCAGGGAGAGAGGGTTGTGGGAGGAAGAGAGCTTTGCCTAAGTGTAAATAGCAGTTACTGGACTCCATCTAGGAGTAGTAGAGTACTGCATCAGCTGGGGTCTGCAGCACAGGAAGGACATCAACCTTTTGGAGCAAGTCCAGAGGAGGGCCACCAAGTTGATTAGAGGGATGGAGCACCTCTCCTATGAGGAAGGGCTGAGAAAACTGGGTTTGTTCAGTCTGGAAAAGTGAAGGCTTCGGGGTGACCTAATAGCAGCCTTCTAGTACCTGAAGGGAGCCTACAAGAAAGATGAAGAAGGACTTTTTAAAAGAGCATGTAAGGACAAGGGGCAATGGCTTTAAACTGAAAGAGAGAGGTTCAGATTAGATGTTAGCAAATTTTTTTGTACTGTGAGGGTGATGAGGCACTGGAACAGGTTGCCCAGAGAAGCTGTGGATGCCTCATCCCTGGAAGTGTTTAAGATCAAGTTGGCTGGGGCTCTGAGCAACTTGGTCTAATTGAAGGTGTCCCTGGCTATGGCAGGGGGGTTGGAACTAGGTCTCCTTCCAACCCAAACCACTCTATAATTCTATGACATGCTCTGCTATTTAGAAGGTCAGACTTTTAAATTCTGGAAAGGATTGTTTGCTACAGAAATATTTTAATAGAGTGAAACAAAAGTCTAATGTCTGCCTTCTGGCAGTAATGAAATCCACCCAGAATAAGCTGGCCAGTATGTAATTTTAGATTATTAAGAGCATCAAACTATTTATTATTATTTTAGATTATTAGCAGCATCAAGCTTCAAGCTATCATATGCTAAAAGAAAGAATTTTATTTTTTATTTTATTATTACTCCTGAAAACAGTCTACCAACCAACAGCTTCCACTTCTGATGTTTGCCAGAGATCCAGCAACTACAGAGCCAGTTTTACTGTGGTTTTCAAATGACATTTTTCAGAGAGGTAAGAAAGACCAAAGTGTATTTTTACCTGGTTTAGAACGACCCAGTTGGGATCAATCTGCGCATCCCCCTCTGGGTCCAACACCACAGTCTGATAGGCCCTGAAGTCTGTCAAGGTGATCTCTGCATTCTCAGGGCACACATCGATCCGATCAATCACTGTATCCTGGTCAAAATCAGACTCGCAGACATCTCCAACTCCATCACCTGAATGCATCAGAGAAGTGAAAGCAGATTTATGGTGCAGGCAAATAGTCACACCTGGCCTAGCCACTGGGTCAGGGTGTCCAGGAAGCAAGTGGAGTGTCAGCCCTGCTGGCTGCAGTGCCTGAGAAAGGGACCTGAGGACCTCTGCTTTGGCTGAAGGGCTCTTGTGTGTTGGTGTTCCTCCTGGGATGAGTGTATGCACATGTAGTGACTGTGTTGGATCTTGCTACACATATCTAATGCCTGGAGATGAATGCAGTGCCTAAGAACTGAAATGGCTCCTGAAGGCCCATCTTACCGTTATCATCTTCCTGCCCTGGGTTGGGAACCAGCCTGCAGTTGTCAGGGCCTGGGGGCAAGAGGTCAGGAATACCATCATTGTCATCATCCTCATCACACTCATCACCCAACCCGTCCTTATCTGTGTCCAGCTGGGAGCTGTTAATAACGGCAGGGCAATTGTCTGTGCTGTCCTGGTGTCCATCGCCATCGCTGCAAGCAAAGAAACAAAAAGAAATTGCATACCAGCATCAGGTCCTGCCTCTGCACAGGAAACAGCATAGACACACGAGCAGGAAACATACCAGTGGCACCCCTGGACCTAGAAGCAGACCAGTGGGGCAGTACAAGCTGTTGTTGCTCAGGTGGCTGAACTGCAAAGAGGCCATGAACAAAGAGGGACTGTATGATAACGTGGCAGGAAGACAAAGACTAAGCCAGGAGCTATAGAAATACTCAGAGATGAGGAAAAGAAAAAGAAGCCTAACATGGTGTGGGAAACTTACCAGAGCCCAAGGTCTCAAACAATCTCCACTCCTAAAGGGCATGTAAGGCACATCCAACAAGTGCAGTGTCACCAATTAAAAGGCACCCAGGAGACAGCATGAGCTGAACACCTGGTGTCCCTTTTCCCATGTGCACATTGTGCACATATGTCTTGGTGCTCATGAACATGCAGGTTGGACGTGAATGAAACTTTATGGGGGACTACATGAGCACCTGAAATCAGAATTGTTTAAAAACTAGCACCACTCTCACACCACTGCGTATCAAGTTTTTCGTGGTGAAAGTGGGCTTCCGGCAACTCCTGTTGCAGAGAGCAGCATCCACCAATGGCTCTG